GGCAATTCCTTTTTTTGTTTTTGTTTTTAAGTCCGTCACTTCATGGGGATAGGTCAAAACCTGGAGCCCTGGTCCACCATGTAGCGAACGACCTTCCAGGATTCCAGGTAGGTGCACCAAGGCCATATCTGGGAAGGGTCAGGTGAGTTGGGGTGTATTCTGGGTGCAACTCACCAGACATCTCCTAATGGCAAGCTTCTTGCTACCGGCTACTAATAGTAATGGCCTCCAACCTACTAGCGATGGCCTCCAACCTACTAGCGATGTCCTCCAACCCAGACAATGGACCATGGACCCAGAGTTACTCCATGCTTTTACTTGCCAAACGAACTCCACAGGCCAGCTAGAAAGCACCCAAAACATCCCAAAACTAGAATTCACTCAGCTGGTTGTCCATTTTTTGTAGACCCGGAATGACTGAGCAAAAAGATGCAAATCAATTCAAGAACACGAAACCAAAAACCTCGTTTTTCTCTCATTCTTTGTGTCAGTTTTCCTCTCCGTTGCGAATTCGAGACCTGGACGTGGTGAAACCAGCTGTTTAGACCTCGTCACGCCGGGTTTGCTTCGATTCTGTCGGGTTTCCGTCAGGTCTCGTAGGCTGCGCCGCCAGTGCCACGCCAGTGCATATAGCGCTCTGAACAAAGGGGCGCCCGGCGAAACGTGGGCCATGGAGTTGACGTTTTATGCTGTAGAGAGACTCAATGCAATGGGGATGCAAGCTGCCAACTGAACTAATTCGAGCATGACATGCGCATCCAGCAGGTCGGTGTGAAGCCAATCGTCTCCTATCTCTACTATCTCGCGGTGAAACCCGTTTTGGCATCTCGTCAGGCATTCGGGTGGGTTTCTCGAAGCTTTGGGCGAACGCTGCGTTTGCTGTTTCTGCAATTTGGTGTACTCAACCAGTTCCATGCGTTTGCCTCTCCAAGCATGCCGAGTACGATCTTGTCAGCTGCGAGAGAATCGTTTGCTGGTTTGGCATGTTCTCCTTCTTTCCCGAGAGCGTTTGCGAAGGGTTCTTCGTAAAAAAACATCTGCAGAACTACGTCTCATCTACATCTTCACATCTTCACCTCTGCACATCCACATTCTCACCTATATCTCTGCTCATCTTCACATCTGCACATCTACATCTCTGCTCATCTTCGCATCCTCGCATCTACATCTCAGCTCATCTTCATCTTCACGCATCTACATCTCTGCTCATCTTCACATCTGCACATCTACATCTCTGCTCATCTTCACATCCTCGCATCTACATCTCAGCTCACCTTCATCTTCACACATCTACATCTCTGCTCATGTTCACATCTGCACATCTACATCTCTGCTCATCTTCACACCCTCACATCTACAGCTCACATCTTCACCTCTCGCTCTTCTTAACTTTCTCTCTTAAGGCCGGGGGCAGTGCCGCCGGACCGCCACGAAACGCAACCTTCTGCGGAGATCGTGCGTGTCGAGTGCGCGAAATGCAGGCGAGAGTG